GCCGAATGCTGGCTGCCATTCATTGTTTACTCACGGCACGAAATCACGCAGCGCATTCTTTTGTATGCCTCTCTTCAGTTGTACGTAATCTTATCCTTAATAAGCTGAAGATTGATAACAAGAGGTATGTGAGGCAAGGCAACTATACAAATCTTAAAATATTGGTCGACCATTGCAGCGTATTTTAACAAGGCGTGTCAAAATAAATAAAAATTAACTAAGATGTGCCATTTTTTCTGCTTATCTGTCACTTAAGTAAAGAAAAGTGTTGTTTACCACCGAGGAATAAAGGTTGGCATGTTTACAGTTATTTCATGAGTTTAAAAGTTGATCTAAGTCTAAGAGATACATATGCATGAGGCGCTTATTAAAAGTTATAAGTATGAAAAATTATAGTAAATAAAAATTTTACGCCGCTATAATTTATCTTAGAGGAGTCGAATCTCAACAAATTTATTTCTCAGCGTATAAAGTTGCCCCTAAGAAAAATACCGGAATTATGAATGTACATAGCATATATTGACAATACCGTCAAACCAAAACAAATAGATAAACTTTTTTTTTTAATTTTTTGGAATTTTTCTAACCACCGGATTTATTGGAGGAGTTATTGTTAGTTTTCTTGCCTAGGAATAAGCTATTTATTTAATTAGTATGAGAGATTATAATAAGCACCTTCTTTGAGTCAGAAATGATCAATCAACTCGACTTTGCATTAAAACAACTACTAAGCAACTGGTAGCTTCCTCTAATATCTTACATTCCAGAACGACTACTATTTTGAAGGTCATAGATACACTTAGTTTAATTAAATTTTTGTACAATTTTGTCCATTTTAGATGCAGAGATACACTGTTATTAGAAAAATACTCTCTCTCAATTGCATTAAAATAACTCCTACATTGGCCGATATATGTGGTATAAAGTCAACTGGAAATTCGAAAATATTTATATTAGGTATATGGGGGCTAATAAAAGTATTGACCCGATTCGACCCATTTATAACACAAGGGAATATTATAAAAAAAAAAAATATTTTTCCCGAATTTCAATAATATGTCTCACAGTTTGACCGATATTTTTGGCAAAAAGTCAACCAAACGTACTATGGTCCACATAATCGTTGTTCGGGGGTTTGAAAAGTTATGGCCCGATTTTGCCAATTTTTAAACTCGAGATTGCATACCTCAAAGGCACTATTTGTTTCATTTAATATATTCATTGGTGCTTGATTTGTGTACTGGGAAGTGGAAAAATCATATGAAATTAAAAATTGTGCTATATTTGAATTAGGCGTTAAAATCATCCTCAAATGAGGTACATACATACATAAATGTGACGAAAACTGAATCGAAGAGGCTAAATTTTATAAATTGAGTTGATGTGGAAGAGGATCGGAATTCATTATATTAGAGATATGAGGTTAAGAACAAAGGCTAGATCGACACCATTAATATTAAACGCTAAACCTTTATTATTATTACATAACTTTTAAGAAATCTTTTTCACTCAATTTTATTGAAGAAACCTAAACGGTTTGAAAACAGCTGAAAAGTCCAAAATTACGATTCAGGGTATATTATGGGCTTGTTGCATTAACTTAGGCATTGGTCAGGTTTACTCGAGAACATAGTTTCAAGCAATTTTATAAATAAATATCTCACACACTGACCGACATTTTTGGCATATACTATAATATATAAGGCATTATACTATAATATATATAACATAACATATAACATACATCCAATATTACACTTTCAGGTAATTTTGCTGAGATATTTTGCATATTGACGTATATATGCGGTATAAAGCCAACTGGAAGTTTGAAAATTTTATACTAGATATATGGGAATAGGAGTAGTATTCACCATCACCACTTTATCTATTTTTGGCTTTACAATATTGCCAACAGAAAAACATGCTCTCTCAGTTTTATTAAGGTACCTCACATACTATTACCAATATATAGGGAGTGGATGTTTGAAAGTCCTGATATTAGATATTTGAGGGCTAGAATAAATTTTCACCCGAATTTATCCATTTTATTCACAAAGATGCACCGTTATTAGTAAAAAAAACCGTCCACACAATTTTTCTAAGGAAACTCACGTATTGGTCAATATATGCGGTATAAAGTCGAACGAAAGTTCGAAATTCTTTCCATTAGGTATATGGGGGCTAATCCTTCCCATTAACCCGATTTCATTCATTATCGATAGACAGAGAAATCGCTATAAGGAAACGATTTTATCCGAATTTCAAAAATATGTTTTCTTTTACACATTGATCAACATTTTCGGCAAAAAGTCAGCAACAGGCACTGTGGTCCGATTTTGACATTTTTTAAACTTGAGATGGCATTGTTTGTGAAAAGTTTTATCCTGATATAGTGTTTAGTGCTTGATTTATATATTGAAAATATTAAGAATCGGATGGAATGTAAATTTGTGTTATATGGGAAGTGGGCGTGGTTGTAGTCCGACTTCGTCCATTTTCGCACTGTATCACAGGAATCTCAGGATAATGCTAACCACCGCATATGGTTGAAATGTGTCGAGTAGGTCCGGAGATATGTGATTTTACCCTAAGGTGGGAAGTGCCACACACGTCGTTCAATTTTGTTACCGGCTGCTATAAAATCCTCTCTTACCATCCCGGCTGTAAAACTTAATGTCTCTGACTCATTCAGCTAGTGCTCTATCGCACGTTTAGTAGTTTTTAATAAAACCGTTTTATGGGGTATGGGCGGGGTATCGTCCGATTTCACCTATTTGTACACAATCGTAAGAACTGTTAAAAGGATTTGTTTTGCGCTAATTTGCGTGATATAGCTAAATTGTTTGGGAAATATACACATTAAACTTATTAGGGGGCCATGCCTTATGTTTAAAGTTTTAAAACCACAGGTGCCCCTTCTTAATGCGATTCGTTGTACCGAATTACAGTTTAGTTATGGCACCTTATACGTTTTCGATTAATGGCGTGGTAGAGTTCCCGATTTGACCAAGGAACGCGTGTACAAAGTTTCGTGACAATATATTGTAACAATTTTTACTCAAGTCACAGCTTGCACAGACAGACGAACAGACGGACGGACAGACAGGCATATGGATTTCAACTCGCCACGTCATCATGACCATTTATATAATTTATTGTAACTCCTTATCTATCTCGATTAATTTTGGGTGTTACGAACTACCGTCAGGTGAACAAGGCTCTGTAGCAACATGCTCCAGAGTACGAAGACAAAGTTTAGTAGAATATGGTTCAGTGTCTGCATTATAAAATGTCAGTACAGGAGATCTTTGGTGTAATGGCAGTAAACCAATTTGCGCTCTATTATGAACCAAAAACAAATCACTTAAGTTTTTATATTCTTTTTCCGAAAATAATCCCCAAGCGATTTGCTAAATAAAATCCGTTCTTTACAGGTAAATACCTATCAAACCTACGTAAACTAATAACTAAATTTATGTATGAAATTAAACATACTTTAACAATTTTCATAGACATTATTATATATGTATTATATGGTATATGACTTCTTCCTGATCGACATTTTTGTTGGACATTAGTAAAATATCTGCGAAGAAAATAATCGATTTAAGTTATTCCCATGAGACTAACAGATGTGAATTTAGTTGAGGTTGAATTTTTGGCCCAAATATGTCATTTTGAGCAACGGTGGTTGTATCAAAGGGACAAATAACGATATTTTGTAAACGGAATTAGCCGTATAATTATTTTTCGGAACTTATAAAATTATGAAGTAGCATTTATACGAATGCAATTCGTCAATAATTAAACTGGTTCAGTTTATCAATAGAACTTTCTAAAGTTTCCTAATCACCGATATTTGAGGAAGTCCATCATGCCTCTATGTTATTGTGCCAACGAAGTTGTTTAATTGTGTATGTTGACTCGCCAATATCAGTTGAATCGCTCAATGCTGTAGTTCGACTTTAACAAATGTTTTGTGAAGTGAGACGAAAACTATTCACTCAGCGTCATTAATATATATACATAAATTTCGAAAAACTCTAATACAACGCAAAAATTGCTCCTTAGCGATAACCTCTGGAAGATGACACAAGGCCTGATCAAATTTAAACAAGACATCGTAACAGGTGTTAAAACCACGCGCAGCTATTTAATTGAACTACTGCAAAGTTTCTTTATGCTTTAGGTTTGCGTTACACCTATGCGTTTTCACACACCGTTAGGGATGTTTCAACGCGAGAGTAATTAATGCAGAGAATATGTAACATACGGTTGCTCTTCTGTTCTGAGTAATGCTAGGTTAACATTACACCTTATTTGTATAACAGTTAATGCCGGAAATATAACAGCTAACAGAACTCAGTAACTGTAACAGCGCGACGCTAACATGCGGCGAATACAACATAAGCGGCTTAGCAGTGTCGCCATCATTTACAACTGCTTTTAGAATAAAATTGTATTCTAGAGTCAGCACTGTAATTTCTAACAGTACCTGACCCAGAAAAATGTTATATTCTTGCCTACTTTCCGCTCTTTCACACACTGCTCCACATTTGCTCCGCTGCTAAATAAATGCTGTTCACTTGTGGCATGCTTGGCTATACTCTCTTCGGTGCACATTGAGCGCTTGCACTCTGAGCGCCAGCGCAGCTGTTATCAAATTTAGCCGGCTTGTTAAACAGCTCTATAACTTTTTATGTACTCTTATCAGCAATGAAATTTGGGACACAACAATGGCAAAGCAATTACAAAAGGCAGCTGTAATGCATTTACTGTGCAACTCAATTGAAAACAAAATTATAGCTGACGCGCAGTACGCTCACGGCGCTCTCAATTTATGCTTATGCTCCAAAGCTATGGCCGGGTGCAAGAGACGAGCGCTACCTACTGGCTGGCTACACACATATTAGATGTTTACTTTGTCCGCTTGCCCTATACGATGACAGGAAAAACCAAGCGACGACAACAACAACTCCATATAAATTTGTGTGTGTGCATGTGTGGCAACCAGCTGCTTTTGCTCGCTGGATGTTCGACTCAACGCACGCGTTCCCTTGCCAACCGACGAACAAATTATGCTGTTGCCGCAGCCACTGACTACCAACAACTCTCTGACGCCACTAGCACCACCGCCAACGCCAGAACCACCGACAACGTCACCGCCGTCGTCATAGTCATCGTCGGCGCTGCATGCCATTGCCTTTGCTCTTTACTGCTCCGGTGCTCTGTTTATTGGTGGCCCATGTCGGACACTTGGCTCGACTTGCTGTGCTGCCGAGGAAATTCAGTCATTACAGACGCGCGCGCTAAGAAGGTTCGTTACATACGGATATTTACTGTTAGAGAGTTAAAAATTTTCATTTTCAATATACTTGTAAATACTGTGTAAAAAAAGGTATAAAAAATTTACACGTGTATTTGTGCGTTGTCGTTTGACATGGACCATAGTTAATCGCCGTTGATTGACAGTTCGCCAATTTGAAATCGAAAGTGTTCTTCGCAACCATTGACACATTGCGCGTTGGCTATAATTAACGGTTACACTGGTTAACGGAGCCGTATTTGTTAAATGAAAATATTTTTGGAAATACAAAATATAACGGTAAAACATAACACCTTTAAAGGGGAGTTAGTGAATGATTTAGTTAAAAAATGCAAAATTTTAATGAGATTCCAATCTACACATGTATGTACAAATCTCCGACCCAATTTTGGCTTTAAATAAAATGTTTTGAGTTCTTGCCTCACAGCATAAACCGTTAAAGTGATTTTATTGTCAAAAACGGAGACAACATAAAAGCAAACAAACGTAAACTAACATTGTCGTTCTCTTAAATTTAAACTTAACGGTAAATGTGTGCTTTTTAATCGTGTGAATAACAGTTAAGGCCAAGGACCCAAAAAACTAAATTTTGAAACAGCTTGGTCATTATCAATAATCGCAAGGCTTCTAAAAGGCTTGGTAATTTTTTGATTTTTCAGTGTCACGACACCAACGGATTTTTCGTCCTCTTGGTATGCTATCAAAGTAGGTAAATACACAAAAGTATAGGAAAATTTACATTAAACATAAACCATAGATAATATGTCAAAGTTTAAGCTTATTTCCGATCCTACTTCTTAATATAAGTCACAGTAAAACCTGCAGAAAAGTAAAGCGAGTATAATCCACAGCCTTTCCAAGTTCTTAAATGATACTATCTTTGAAAAAACTTTTTAAAAAGTGCAAATGATCTTAAACAGTAAGATACTTAAAAAATCTCTGATATAAGGCTTTCTTAGTATTAGATAAGAAGTTACAAATAATAATATCTCACTGGGAAAGCTACAACTTTTTCAAAGCTGAATAAAGATATGTGGTCGAGGTCAAAGTCAAAGGATATATTATATTTTTCCATATTAAGCTTTGTGATATTATGGTACTATATTACCTAAAAAGGCGATATTCAAATGTTTCTCTTAATGGCCTCCCGATCGAATCAATCTTAGATCAGAATATGAAGCTCCATTTCATTCTTCAATTCTCAAAAAACATATGTATAAATTTGTTTAAGTAAAATATACAAATTTAAAATTTAGGGTACTGTATATAAGTTGCGGTCTATTACGATAAAATTCTGAAATTATGAAATTTAACCCACGCCATCTTTTAATCATATAAACTTAAGGTTGAAGTGTTATTGAAATCTTGTTTTGCAAATGAGCTGGCTTCAAGTTAGGCTAATTATACTACATTAATACCTCAGTTATTATGTGAAATCATCTCCCAATCAGCCGTAAATGTTTTAAATAAATTTATTTTAAGATGTAGAGTAGGCTTAAATCATTCTGAAGAAGTTAACAGAGGATCTTAGTGCTTTCGAATAACCCAATGTCACTTTATCCTTTACACATTTTAAGTTTTTTTTAGGTTCGATCTTTCTATAAAGTGCGCAACTAAGTTCTCGCTATTTTTTTAATGAAAATGCAATTTTGTTCTAAGGAAATGGTTACAAATAAATTATTCGAAGTATTGCCTATCGCTAGTCACAACTTTTTCCCATCTTTTGGGTAAAGTTCGAATACCATTTAGTAAAACTGTTCATCTTGTGATGCTATCCAAGAAACAAGCCATATTTCGTCTTGTGAGTGAAGCTGCTTCTGAGCCAGACCATGTGCTACAAACAGAACAAATAATAATCGGTCAGTGAAATACTTGGAGAATATTGCGGATGGGGTAGGACTTCCCATTTAAGCGTGTTTAGGTAGTTTTAACGGGTTTGGCAACGTGAGGCAGCGTTGTCATGCAGCATAACCACCATAATGGCTTGGCGAGTTACTTCCATTTCTGAAACAAGATTTTCTTCTTTGACATGCAACGACTTCAATTCACCGTCTTCGAAGGTTTTTGGCCTTCCTTCCGCGGACGATTGTTAATATTGAAATTGCCGCCTTTGAAGCGACGAAAATCACGGCACGTTGTTTCACTTGGGGCAGCACATCTGTAAACTTTTTGAAGTGCCCGATGTGCTTCAGCCGCCGATTTCCTTGGTCGAAAGAAGAAAATCAACAATTCCCTGAAATTGACGATTATTTGGCAAAAAAATCAGACATATATAACACATAAACAAAGTCACTAATGTGGAAACGCAGTTTCTTTTTCGAATGTCTAGGTTAAGTTTATCACATTTTGAATATATTAAAATAGATCACCACTAGCTGTTGGAGCCATCTATTGACAACAACAACTTAGTTGTACACCTAATACACTAACATCAACAATATTCCATCAAGTGAAACTATATCCTGTTGCTTATAATATTATAAGCTAGTTGTCTTTAGTTTATAATTATTAGTATTTTATCTGCAGAGTGGCCTCGGTCATATTTTGAAAAAGAAGCATTGCAGTTGGTAAATTGTAAAACTTGTTAAAATGTTTGTATATTTGAGGCTTATTGTTTTCTCAACTGTCTGTTATAAGTCAGATGTCATCAAGATTGACCGTCAATTGATCTACCGGTTTACCTTTATTCTCATCTATTGCGCCTTCTTTTTTTAATGCAAATAAAATAATTTACCTTCTTAGAGTAAGTGTTTTCTGCTCTCTTTCCAAATATTGATATTTTTAAGATGTCTGATATTGTCTATCTTTGGTGGATCAATTCTTCTTTCCGCGTCAAAATAAATTTTATTAACTTATTTTTTTTTTTTTTGAACAGTTATAATTTCTTTAGGCTTTTGTGTTTAAAAATCGAAAAAAAATTCGCATTTTAATTTTTGCGAATAATTGGTCATTTGAGCTGTTAAAAATGGTAAAACTGGCCTAAAATATGAAGGGCAAAACTTGGCAGCAGTGCAGATCTTTAATGACATGTCCAATGTCTCTCACGTATGAATTCAACTCGATAACTTTGTTGTTGAGCGTAGAAATGGGACATCGAAGACTTCTTATCTGAACTTATTGAACCAACGGAACGGAAACTAAATAATAAACTATAACTTGAACTATAAATAACATGTTGTGAATCAGAATGCAAAATATATAAGAAGACTATATCTGAACTCAAATCTGAAAATCCTCACAAAAAATAATGAAAAAACAAAGCTAACACTGCATAAACATTTAAGTTGTGCTGCATAAACTATTTTATCTATTTTCCCACACCATCTGGACTGGTAAATCCCCAAATGCGCCTGAAGTCAATAATCCCTATGAAAAATGTGCTTGTCGATCAGCGATTTGTAGCTTGCCTGTTATAGGCGATTTGTTATTTAAGATTTGATTTAATGTTACTTTGTTACTAAATACACTGATACTATAAGTACAATACTTGTAAACTCCCCGAGTTACGAGTTCCCTGTTGGTATGTGCGCATTCAATAACAGGGTGCGCATATGTATGTTTGCATGTGTTTGAACGGTATTTTGCAGTCAAGGAAACGTCACAGCGATCAATGGATATTTTCGAAAAGAAAACGAAAAATGGAAGTATCGACACAGCAGTGTTGAATGGACTTTTTTCAAAAAATTATTTTTAATTTTAAAAGCATGAAAAATGTCAGTGCGAAGCGAAAAAATCGAAAATGCATCCATCAAAGTGTCAGTGGGACTGTCGGCAGTTTAAGCACCCACAAAGTGGTTGAGAAGTTGAGAAGTGATTTTCAATAATAAAAAGCAGCAACAAAAACCAAAACGCTGTCAGCAACAATAATAAAACAGGAAAAGTAAGCCAACAGCGCTTTGTCAAATGCAACAACAAACACACACATATACAATAAACAACAGAGATGGCGTGAAAATCGGGGCAACAGTGGCAACAACAACAACTAATGCAATGTGAAATGCGAAAACAGAGTAATGACAGTAACGGCAGCAATGGCAGCGACAACGGCAGCAGCAACAGGGCTAAATGTAAATTTTCGCGCATTTTTCACAATCGGCTCACACAAACACACACACGCCAACACACCAACTGCTGCTAACAAATGTAGCTCTGTATGGCTTAAACCTACTGACAATTTGCATATAAGCGAATTTTTATGTATGCACGTATGTATGATTGCGCCTGTGTGGGTGTTACTTTGCGTACCGCTGTAGAATTTTTCCGCGCATGCATTTGACTACAATGCACCGTTCCGTAAAAAATGAAATCATTGCGAAAGGGGAAATCGAAAAACCGACAGTCAAACTGGAATTTCGAAATGGAAAAAATCAGAGCGCGCGTCAAGCTATGCCCCCGCGCAGGAGACGCGTAGAGGCCTGTGTGAAAAATGATGAATTTTTAAGCAAAGATCCCGCTGAAAAAACCCATGCATATGCAAAGTATGCCTAAATGCTTAGCACATGCAGCGCTTCAATTATTTTTGTGTTTTCCTTTTTTTTTCTACTTTTTTTGTTGCTATACAGAAGTAGAAACCCACAAAAAAATGCTCCCATTGAAATGGAAAGTCGAAAAATAGACAAAGAAAACAATTTGTGCTTTTAGAAAATCCTAGAGAAAGGCAGCACATCGCCGCGATCCCGCACAACCGGCAACACCAGCAACACCAATGCCTGTTCGGCTTATGCTTAATGAAAATGCCAGCAACGCGCTGCCAGACCGGCGGCCACGTCGCCCGCGGAACGCGCACGTAACTGTCAAAAACACGGCAGCTCATCCGCACTTTAACGCATATTCTTTATGCATATATGTATATACATATAACTGTACATATGCATATCGTCGCCTACTCAGCTATTAAGTGGATGCGCTGATTGATTTTTATGGTGTGCACCGCAATTTGCCTGAACGCGCGCCCGCCAGCGCAATCTTAAGAGAATTTCCCACTTTGAGGAATTCCACGAGCGCTCGACAAATCGCACAGCCATCCAATAACTACAACATAAGTATGTGTGTGTGTACGAGAGCTTAGTGCGCGCTATTGAATGTGAAGCGAGTGATGCCGGCAAAGTGGTCGTTTCAAATACCCTTGGCTGTTAATATGCACTTCGCCAAAGCACAATAAATACAAACAAAACAACAAGCAGCCACTGCCACAAAGAAGTAATTTGAATAGTCAGTCATGCATTCGGTGTGAGTGTGTTTCTATTTAAGACACACACTGCGGCATGGTTGGTGTAGTGGCTTAGTCATTTGCACCTCACCCACTGACTAATGAAAATTCCAAACGCAATCTCAGCATTGGCATTGGTCTGATTTGTTGCTACACTGCTGACTGGCCGCCAATGATGCTGATAATAATAATGAATTTTGCGGAAATTGCTGCCCTCAAGCGTGTGCAGTTGGCCCTGTGCTGTCGTCGGATGCTGCTGCCGCTGCATATTTGCGTGCTCTCGGGGCCAGCAAATCAATGACAATTAAGCATGCCATACATGTGCTTATGTGAGTGTTCTTACACATCCATGTAGTTCTAAGTTTCTCAGAATTTCTATTATATTTCTGTGCAACAAGCTTCTTTCTGTCCATGCCATCACAACTATTCTCGGTCACTGGAGCTTTGAAAGTCTCATTACTTGCTCGTTGCACATGTGTCTGTTTCACCCAGTTAGCACG